ATGAGAGCGTTATAGTGATTAATATTAAGTTTCATGTTATTACTTTGCATCAAGTCAATAACCATTTTTGAGCCCTCGAAATCTCCGGCCGCGCACAAACACCTTATCAGATATAAAAGGGTCACATGATCCACCGTAAATTTTTTTCGCCGCATTTCCTGAAATACTTGCATCGCATTCTTTGAATTCTTTTGAACTTCCGCAAAATGAATCATAATCCTATAAGTGTCAACGTTCGGTGTTAGACCCAATTGCTGAATTTCAAGCAGAACCTCTTGCGCCTGCTCGATTCTTTTATTATTCACTAAGATTCGAGCCACAAGATTGTGAATATAAAGATCTTTACGAAAGTAACCCAAGAACTTGGACTCCTTGTAAAGCGTTAACACTTCAGTCAAGTAACCTTCTTAATAATACGTTAATAGCATTAGTCTGTATGTTTTTTCGACTAATGGGATTTGCTTATCCAAAGATTGCGCGTAAACCATCCAGAGGTACTTAAATTTTTTTCGCCTTGCGCAATATTCAATTACTAGTCCATAAATGCATCCGAGATTTGAAGTGCGCGTGTGTTTTAACAACAGTCTTGCCGTGGTCATCTCATTCGGATTCAGGCAAGCATCTACCATCATTTGAACTAGTCAAAATTTGACGGTAAACAATTTTCCGTAAAATTTTTTGCTTCGTCAAGATCATTTTGATGAATAATTGTTTGCACTAGTATGGTGTAAATTTCTTTAAACAATGAAGTTTGCCACGATGGCATCTTAACAACTTGAATTAGTTAAAAAATATAGACTTGTGAAGATAAAATGGCTTAAAGTTAGGTCTAGAAGATTTGTATAAGAATCAACTAATTTAATCCAGTAAATTATATTGATTGCATTAAAGTAGTTAATCGATAGTGATATGAAAATTCCAAAAGTATCAAAATAGGTAATAGTAAGTTAAAGAATATATTGACTAAGGTTTTTATTTTAAGTTAATTTTTTTCTCAAATAAGAATAAGATTTGAGTTAGTGTTATAATTGATATTAGTGATAGGGGGTTTTTAACAAATGACTTATACCACGCTTATTGAATATTATATTAAGTATACATAAATATGTAAATTACAAATCTAAAATTCTATCTATTTCTAAACTTACTAAAGATTGTCCTTATTATGCAACTTATACATGTGATGGAATTAAATTCAAACATTTTTCAAAAACCATATTTTATGATAGAATTATCAAGTAACATATAGTAAATAATTGGAAATAAAAATTGCAAATACTGGAAATACCCAGGCTATAATATTATTTGGAGCAACAACAACAAAGGAACAGGAGTAGCAGTAATGATTAAAAAAGAACTAAGCAAACACATTGGCAAGATCGAAAAATACCCTGGTAGAGGAATAAGCATAGACCTCCAGTTCAGGGGAAAGAAACACATTGGCATTATAGGAATCTATATACCAACAGCAAATGGACAAGAAAAGAAAGAAGTTAACAAGTGAATAGAAGAAAAAATTCTTAGCAGACATGAAAAAAACTGGAACACAATAGTACTGGGAGACTTCAACTTAGTGATGAATCCACAATTTGATCATAGATCAACCTTCAACAAAAAACAAAAGTTACAACTTTTCACTTTTACAGTACAACGAATCCTCAAAAATCTAAACTATACAAACAGTTATAGGGTATACAATTCCATTAATTCAGGATATACCTGGCAAAACTCCAGAAAAGCAATGTCAAGACTAGATTACATCTGGATCTCAGATTACAAAAAATAGTATCTGACAGAAACAAAAATCAGTGCAGCAGCAATGGTATCAAATAGTGACCATGCTATAATCCAAACCAGTATTTTACTTTTCAACCTTAATATAATCCCAAGAAGCCCTGCAGGAAAATAAACAGAAACCAGATACACTAAAGTAGGAACAACTCCAGAAAATTGGAAGAAGTTTCATAAAGAAATCCATTATATCCTTCAACAACAAAAAATATACCCAGATCTAAATATCTCTTCATCTGACAAGCTCTGAAACCTAACATGGAATGCCATAAGCAAAGCTCAATCCAAACATATCATCAAAATCAAGATCAGAAGAAACAAGAGAAGGATCAAACCCAAAAACATTCTCCAGAAAAAAAGAAATCAATAGAAATTAGAAAACTATATAGCAAAGGCAAACAATATTTCAAATACAACATCTGATCAGCAGATCTAATAGCAAGTATCCACAAATCAATCCAAAAAATAAATCAAGAAGTTGAAATAATCAGTGAACCACCATGGAATGAACCTAATCAATATTGTTATGGAAACAATAGGAATGAGAACGCGATATTGTGGCGCGACGCGAAATAATAAAGACAGTGATGATGGAATGATGTAATAATTAGTAATAGCATATACTGGGTATTTACGTGTCAACAAGACATATAAATAGGATAGTTTTAGAGTTAGTTTCGAACAACAAGTTCTAAGTTCTAGATCAGAGACTTATCAGTTCCGTTTTAGAACACTTCTCTGTTTTTGGCACACTCGCGCTTTATTAAAAGAAATACTATTTCACTTCGCACAATAAACAAGATACATTCTTTAACAGTATAAACTAAGTTTGCGCCACTACTGTAAAGTAAATGCCTTTAAAAGGAGAGACACGACGTTACTTTTGCACCGTAAGAGAGTGACACTTGTAGTCTTGAGACGTGCCTAGAAGGAAGGACGGTCAAGAAGAGATTAGCAAGTGCGCGAAAGTCGGCCAAATTGTAACCGCCTCGGAGTTAAAGCCTTACCTTATTTTAGTGCCATAATCCAAGCGTTCAGATTATCGTCACGCGAAGAGTGCACCGTTTTAGCGACAGACTCGCCGGTGACGACAACAATATATACTAGCAGCAAAAAAATAGCTAGAAGAGATCAAACAAGCTTGGAAAATGATATACAAAAGTCTTGCCATCTTAACAAACAAGAGAATATAGAAAAAGATACAAAAAAACACAGAAGAAAGATTCATTTACCTCTCTACAAACAAGAAAAAAATGATAAACTCTATCCTTCAAAAAAAAAGGAACAGCATCATATTTGACAAACTAATTATTCACAAAGATCCTATTACAGTCATTACAGAGCCTATGGAAATTAAGAAAAGGATAACAAAACACTTTTAAAGATTCCTTGATCAAACACTATCACTGAAAGAGAATTGGAACACATGGAGTCAAGAATACCAGCCCAACTCTGAAATCAAAGCAAGTTGGTATAATATATGTATCCAGGAAATTATATAAGCAGAGGTTGAAAACACAATCAAAAAATCTGAATCAGAATCAGCACCAGGGAAATCACAAATAAACTATGCAATACTCAAACACTTAGGTCCAAAAAGAGTAGAAAGACTTACAATTCTCTTCAATCGCATTCTTTAAATTAAAGAAATCTCAAGAAAATGGCAACACAATCTGTTATATTCAATCCCAAAAAACTTAAACTGGCAATATGACCTCAAACCAGACCCATTGCATTCCTGGAAACAGTAAAAAAGACCTTTACAAAAATAATTAACAATAGATTAGCAAAAACCTTATTCCAGTATCAAATTTTATCATCTTTCAATTGGGTAAAACTCCCTGAAGAAGGTATATACAAATCAATTATCATCATTAATCATATCATGAAAGAAGCAAGAAATCAGAAAAAGAGCTATGGATGCTAAGCCAGGATATCAGCAAAGCATATGACTTCATGAGGCATGATAGGCTTGATCAAGCAATGGAGCATATCAAAATCCCATAAACAATTCATGACATCATTATAAACTGTGTTACAGAACATACAAGCCAGGTAATTATACAATATGGACTTACTGAACTATTCACTATAAGACTGAGCATAGACCAAAATAATATAATATTTTTCCTTCTCTGGTGCATATATTATAACCCACTAATAAAAAAGATAGAAGATCTAAGACTGGAATACAATTTCAATATCAAAATCTCCACAACATGCTTTGGACATTGAAATTGGGAAAAGTCCATATCTTATCTATCTTATACATGGATGACACAACATGGTTTATAAACTCAAAAAAGAGGATAGAAAAGATCCTTGGCCTGGTAAAAAGCTTCGCAAATATAGCAGGACTAAAGATCAACTCAAACAAATCAACCTTCCTAACTATCAATAATACAAAACAACCTACCATTGCATTTCAGACAAGTACAATTCAAGCACAAGGAAAAGAAACAACAATAAGAATTCTTGGTATATAAATAATAAGCAAGGGTTCAAAGAGACATCAGAAACAGCTAATAATCAACAAAATTACTTTTATAACAAAATTATTTTGTAGAAAGAAAACAACTAACAAATAGTACAGATACATAATCAACCAAATACTAATGTCAGCACTCGAATATCTAATTCAAGACACAATCCTTACCCAACAGAAATACAATTAAATCAATAGCAAAATCATCTCAACCTTAAAACACAACTTGGTCTTCCATAAATAGTGATCAATAGTGGGATTCACTTATATATGGAATACAAGATCTTCAATATATATAACAAGCAACTCAAGCTCCAAATAACCATATGGTTTCAAGATCTCAATGCAAGAACATTACAGACCAAATTACAAGGGTACAACTTTAACACTTACAAAATTGAACTTGAACAATAAACAACATTCTGGATGCAAACTACTAAATTACTGCCTCTTCTCATCACAATCTATTAGCAGAAATCATTCTTTTTCTCAAAGCTAACAATTTTCAGATCAATATAATGGCAAAATATTAGCTAACATTTCCAATATCAAGAAACAATAGAACAACCATTGAGGACTTGATGCCCCTCCAATGGTTCAACAAAAACAGAAACAACCAAAAAAAACATAATATTATCTATATATGGCAAATAACTAATACCACAAACTTATACTGTATAACATGGATCCACTTCAAAACTTGAACAGAAACAAAATATATAGGAAGAAAACTGTCTTGGCTTGAGGATATTATAACAGTATACCAAGAGAAGGAAGAGTGTCTAAGGGAACCAATAATAAATTTTTCACCACATGTAACCTGGCTAATCAAGATAATATTTAGAAAAACAAATACATCACAATAATTATCAATCACAAAATATATATAGGAAAGTCAACAAAAGAGTCAAAGTCTTTAACAATACATTAAAAGCTCAACATTTTACACAAATAGCAGGAGATTCTCCAATCGAGAAATATAATGGATATGAACTCAATACACAAAACAAATCAAACAGATGTATTCAAAAGATCAGCACAAAAGCAGCAATAGCAATATCAGTCAAGCAAACAAAAAATAGCTTAAAGCCATATAACTCAATTATAGACAATCTCCCACAGATTCAAGTCTCACCAAACTCAATTAGATAAATACATCAGTGGAATAAGACACAGCAAAAAGATCAAATATACCATATATAGATATTATCAATGATGCAGAAATGGAACCAAAAATCTCCAATGGGCTAACAGAACTAAAGTTTCAATATCAAATTTGAGCAAAATTAGAAAGAATAAAGCATCACATACAAAACTGGAATGCAGTTGACATACTGTATATACAGATGGATC